GTTGGGGGGTCGAATTTTGCATCGGCAGTATTTTTAAGTCATGAATCTTTGTAGCACGTCCCAATAGGTATGTTACGTCTATGTGCATAGTTGTTTCCGGGCAAAACTTCTTCTTTGGTGAAATGAGCCTCCTATGGACTCGTTTTGCATTTTTATTATATAATCTGGTTTAAGGGTATTTTGGAGTTTTCTTTCAGGAAATAAACCCCGACCTTGATATGGTCACTTAGAAAACATATTTTGGTGGGAGGGGGGTTTTTTCTTTGTGTTTTTCCATAAAATGTCGTCTTCGTACCGGAAATCCCTCGCGAAGTTCAGTTTTCTATTTTTTATTTTAGCAGCTTTTTAACCCTCTTGACCTGATTTTTCTTGGGGGCATTTTTATCACTTTTCCTTGTTTTCCAATTTTGGTTTGGACCATGGTTGATCAGAAAACATGATTTTGGAGGGGTGGGGGAGTTTCTTCTTTGTGTTTTTCCAAAAAAACCTCATCTTGGCCCTCAAAAACCCATTTTTTCCTGAAAAACCCTTACTGTCAGCTTTTTGCTGATCTGTAGTACAAGTGTACATGTGGTTGGATCTTATAACCAGTTACATGTGCTTGGGCAGAATGTTGTCACCTCTATTTTTGCCTCATAACCGGTTAGGAAGTCTAAGTTTTTTAAATTTTTCGTTGTCTTTCCAATGGTGTGCTCGGTAGCACCCACTTTCGTTGTCTTTCATTTTAGCATGTGGCATATGCTTGGTTGTTTTAGCATGTTATATATGCTTACCCGCTTTAGCATGACGGAATGTTGCATACATAACATGCTACCTGTTTTATGCATTCACTGAGTGAGTTACTTTCAGTCGTGATAACTTGTGTTATTATTAACATCGTTTCATTTTTCACACATATAGCGTCATGGTCTTGACTCATGGAGGGTCATCTTGTCAGGGCTCAGGAGAGGATTGAGTTGTAGTTTTTGTCTGGTGGAATGAGACGCGGGCCGTGGAGGCGCCGTTTCATCCTGTTCTTCTTTCGTAGCTTCTTGACATGGTCATGGGGCATCTGAGGTGTTGGTATCATCTCTTAGGGTTTTATGGTGACCTTAATGTGATGACTTCATTGAGGTCTTTGTTTCTAGCGTCATGGGACGAAAAGTCAAGGCTGACTCGAACCCTTCCTTTGGGAGTTGGGAGGTTGTCTTGTGAGCCTCAGGGCGAGGTTCTCATGTTTTGCCTTCTTAGGATGATTGTTTCGGGATTTGGATAGGTGTGTTGACCTAGGATCTTTCTTGTGTTGCCTCGGACAGCTCTTACGAGCTACTGTTGGGATGTGAGCTATTTCATGTAATTAATTACGTTGGTACAATTAACTACTCTCCCTTGTCTTTAGAGACTTACGGTATTGTGTTGGGGTTCGGTAGAGTCCTTTAAAGTTTTCATAGAACTTACTGGCACCTCGAGGGGTGTTCTCCTCATTGATGTCTCGTAATGGTTAGCACTGGAGCTATTCATTACACTATTGTCTTGTTTCGTATGGTGTTGGGATTCCATCTGGGTATGAGCAGGTTTTGGGAAAGACTTGCTGACCCTATGTCTTGGGAAGGACTTACTGACCCTATGTCTTAGGGACCTTAGTGGTCATTTGAGGGATGATTCCTTTCCTCGTGGTGAGAGATTGGACTCATCTAGGTTCTGTCGTACATTTTCTGCTTGGTATCTCTTGAGAGGCATTCCATCCCTTTCTTTTGACCTTATGAACTTGCCATTTGTATAATCCTTTTTACATGTTTATGAGCCCCATTGTTTTTGGGCATGCCTTAAGAGCATGTTTAAGATATATGACTATGTGATAGTTTGTATGAGGATATAGATGATACGTTTTCATATACTATATCCGTTCAGCATGCTGGTGCCATTAGTGGTGTACAGCTTGTCGTTGTTTATTTGACCCCTATGTGACAGGTGGCATGTTTCTTTTACCTTATGAGTACCGTGTGCTTAGTACTAAGGTATGATTTAATTTATGCAACTTAATTTTGCGAGTATGTGTTATGTGAGTAGCTGGTTATGCTGTTATATCCTTCCTGCACTTATGTTGGGGTTTTGTGACCTTAGTCGTCAGGACTGTCATGAGTGAGCTACGTGGTAAACTTGTGTTTTGAGGACTTAGTTGTCTATGATAGGGATTTTGATCCAGCCTTTTGTTTCCTATATGTGACCTTAGGATAGGTCTGTTTCGGGTCAGTGTCTTTCAATTTCGTGGAGTCCAATCCATTGGCTTGATGGCATAGACTTGTTAGGCTTTGGATTCGTGACTGGAGGTTGTTGGTAACGGTGTTTTGTAATGTAGGAGCTGTTGGCTCTACTTGTACTGTGGATTTAAGACCTTAAGCGTAATGGTGCCTATGACATTGTTGTCAGAGTTTTGGGATTAGCTACCCCAACTTTCACAAAATGCCTAGTTCCCGCAGTGCTTTTGGTAATGATCTTTTTCGACATTGATGTCATTCGTATCGATAAGTTTTTCTGGGTTGACCTAGTTGGGGGCAGGTTATGAACTAGTGCCTTATACTGTCATGCTACCGTACAGAGTTGTGTGTTGTGGGTGGGTGCTAGTTGCCGTCGATGCTACCTTACTGACGAGTAAGTGTGGGCGGGCGCTAGGCATTGTCATTGCTACCACACATTTGAGTACGTCGTGGGTTCGCTGTTCGTACTGCCATGTCACTTTTTTCTTTTGTCGTATTTCGATATTTCGCTATCTTGGGATTCTCTCGGTGGTTGACATTGAGTTGACATGCCTGTCGCTTTCGGGAAGTTGTCTCTCAGTTCTTAGTTTCACGTTCTTCGAATGGTCTTGAGGCTTTTAGAGGTCCTTTAGCACTTTATGATCTGTCCTTTGGTTTGACCTTGCATTTAGTCTCAGTTCGGTTCTCCTTGGGATGTTCCTACTTTCAGAGATGAAATTCATTTAAGGAGGGTAGGTTGCCATGATCCGGTCATTTTCCTTCTTTTCATTTTTTCTCAAATTTTACGAATAAATTTTTTTTCCGTTGAATTTTCTTTTCCGAGCTCGGTTTCTCATCACTTAGTGTCGTCTCGAGTGCTCAGAAATGGTTTTTGAGACTCTTTCCTTTGGATTGACAACTTCCTTTAAGGACCGAGTCATTTCCACATTTTCATTTTTTTGACACTATTCATTTTTCGTCTTTTTCTCGTTTGTCACTTTTTGGCACAACCTCACTTTTCATGTTTGGTCGTTTCTCTCCAGTTTTAAGGTTTTCGGCCCTAGTTAGCGCCAAACTTGTTTGAGGCATATCTCTCTGCTCGGAACTCAATTTTTTACGCTATTTCTTCCATTGTTCATTTTTTATCATTTTGGTTCTTTTTCATTCATGAAGTTTTGCCATTTGAGCGCATCTACTCAAATTCCATTTTTCCGGACCTGATGGGGCTTGTTCGAGGCCCGTTTGGAGCACTTTTAGGGTTTTACTATAAATAGAATGACTTAAAGTGAAAAAGGGGATTTTCACCATCTTCCTCCCCTCTTTGGCCGACTGCCACCATTCTTTCTTCACCTCCACTCTCTTCCCTTTGTTATTTGCTTCGAGCCTTAGCGTTTATCGAAGGCCTAGGCGAGGCGCACTTTTTCCTCTTATTAGAACCCGTCTCCGACCATTTTTGAGTTTGGGTTTCGAGTTCGGGTTTGGATTTTCATGGTACCTCAAAGGTTAAAGTTGCTTCCCTCGTTATCCTCAACATAACCTAGGAGTGTCATCGGATTCGGAGCACTTTTCTTTCGGTTGGAATTTGAGATTTCATCTCAAATTGAGGTAAGGCATGTCATAGGTTTATATTTGAGTTGTATTGATGATTTTAGAAGCTTATACAACTTGTATGCATGTCTTATATTGATTTAAGAAATTAATAATAAATTGTATCTTGCATATAACTCACTTTAGACTTGGTATATGACATGGCCATGACTTAATCTTTAATATATATTAATTTGAGATGATTTAAATGAGTTTTCAAATCTAGAGATTTAATAAATTTAATTTGATTTAAATTCTACTTAATTGTATCTTGCTTATATTCCATTTTAGACTTGATATATGGCATGGCCGTGACTTAATCCTTATTATATATTAATTTGGGATCATTTGAATAACTTTTGAAATCTATAGATTTAATTAATTTAAATTAATTAAATTATACATGATGATATCTTACTCATTTTGCACTTTTGATTTGATATATACAATGACCATGGAATGATCTTTCATATATATTATTTTGAGAATCTTTGGACAACTTTTGAAATTAAGATAAATTAATTAATTAGCTTAATTAATTTCTATTTAATTGTTCTAATGATTTAGTCATGTATCTTATGCGGCTGTTGTGTTTTTATCATGTATCTTGACTTCTTGTGATTTAATTTCATTAATGTCACTACAACAGATCTGGCTTTTACCAGCGCTCAAAAGCGCTGGTAAAAGTCTTAAAAAGCGTTGATAATTCAATTACCAACGCTTTACCAACGCTTTTGAAAAAGCATTGGTAAACACCCTATGCTTGCGCTACTTTAAAAGTGCTGGTAAATGTACCAGCGCTTTTGAAGAAGCACTGGCATAAGGTATTTATCCGTGCTTTTTGAAAAAGCGCTGCTAAGGGGTTATTTTAATTTTTTTTTATTATTATTTTTTTTCTCCTTATGCCGGCGCTTCTTCAATACTAGGGTCATTTTAATTTTTTTTTAAATTATTTTTTCCCCCTATGCCATCGCTTTTTGAAGAAGCGTTGGTACTAGGGTCATTTTAATTTTTTTTTAATTATTTTTCTTTTCCCTGTGCTAGCGCTTTTTGAAAAAGCACTGGTACATGGATCATTTTAATTTTTGTTTTATTATTTTTTTCCCCCTATGCCAGCGCTTTTTGAACAAGCGCTGGTAGAGCGGTCATTTTTATTTTTATTATTTTTTTTTTACGGCTACTAAATGTTATCCAATATAACACAAATCAATATAAAAATACCATCCAAATTGTTTTAACATAACACAATCACAAGTTAACCTGCTGCCAATATGAAAAATACCATCGAAATTGGCTACTAATTGTTAAAGCAGGTAAATGTCAACCAAAAAGCCAAAATGTATACTAATACAACCACAAGTTAACCTGCCACTATGAAAATACCATCCAAATTGTCTAAATAAAGCTACTAAATGTCACACAAAAAGAATTAAGAATTTTTGACAAATGTAGTATAAGTTTTTCAAAAAGGACCCATCCAAGGAGAAGGAAATTCAGAAAGCACAGCCACAACCCCATCTTCAGCTTCAGCTTCAGCTTCAACTTCAACAATTCTTGCCCATTTGATTTGAATTACCCTACATTTTTTATAAATTCATTAAGTGCACATTATAATAAATGAAAATTTAATATATATATATAAGAGAAATTAAAAGTTCATAACCTTAATAATAAAAATGAATTTGGGGACACTCTAGGAGGAGCATTTAAAGAATCAAAACCCTTCAAAATAACAAAACAAAATACATGAAATCTTGACATAAGTAAACATATATTTAGTAAAGAGTAAAATTAATAATAAATATACCTGTCCACTACAATTTTGTTGTTGCATCTGCACTAGCATAACCACCTGTTGTTGTAAATTTTCTAACTTGTCGTCGTAGTTAGCTCGTAAATTTTCCAACTTATTGTCATAGTCAGCTTGCATTTTTGAAATCATCTCCTGCAACTCTACACGTGCCTCCTCCTGAGATTTTTTGACATTATTAATCAGTTCTACTAGGAGAGGCCCCCAAACATCGCTTGGTGTAGGCCCGAAGCCAAGCATCCCACACGACCAGTTCTCTCCTCCCCTCACAATGGAGAACAAATCATTGGAATTGCCAATAGGCGAGTCAGAGTAACTTTTTTGAAGTTCTCTTATGTTTTCCTGCCAAAAAAAAAAAAAAAATTTGAACTACCATGACATACTGCTATGAAACATCCAGACAAATCTAATGAAATGATAGAACAGGAATGTAGAAACAGCTGAACAGAAAAGTAATTAGATAACAAATTGGTAATGACGAAAGCCAAGTGTTCTGAAACAACAATGCATCACACAATGTGAAAATATAGTTGTGACATCCCTTTAGCCTTTCATACAATCTCTAAAGCTTTAAAATATGCTAAGATAGGATCTGTGTAACCCCCCCCCCCCCCCCCCCCCCCCCCCCCCCAATGAGACACGTGTTTTTTTTGTTTTTTCCTTTTTTTTTGGGTGGGGGCTGGGGTTTTATTTGGTGACATTTTTAATCCTCAATTACTTGAACATTCATCTTTTTCGATGAAAATCAAGTTATAAAATGGCTTCCTTTAAAAGAAGGGTGTGTTTGGAAATTAGGATACCATGTTTGTAAAACTGCAGCAATATTAGAGTAATGTGCTGTATTTTTAGCTTTTCCATTAGATGTAAATTTAGCTTTCAAAAAGTTTTTATTATCTACATTCTACCTAACTTTTGTTAATTACTCAATCTTGGACTTGTTTTAAAGGCTGCTTTCAATTAGATTGAGTACAGATCTAGCATTTGTCATAATTTGAACAAAATTGCTTCTTAAACTCAAATCCACATTTGAGTAATTTGAACTCTACCATTAAGGCTCCTCTAATGTCACCAAATCTGTTTTTTATTTTTTTATTTCCTTCTCTCCTTATAAATTATATAATTACAAATGTTCTTATCTATGTTTAAACAAATCACAGATCTTGTTTCTATATCCTATTAAGAAAAACAAAAATGAGGCATCAAGTTTTGGATTATGCAGAAAACAAAGATACAATGCAGTGATGTTTCTAAAGAATTGTCAAGTTGGGTAACTGCTGACAAATTGTTCAGTGATCCGGAAAATGACTATATTTCTTAGTCAATTGTCTCAACAAAATTTTCAATGTAAAGCCAAAACTAATCCACCATATCCTCAAATTTTCTGACTGGAAATAGGTATTTTATTGAGAGACTACATAAGCGCCAATTATTTGAGCATGTAGTAGAATAATCTGAACATTCAGTTCTAGCTAAAGTCTGAACTCTACCACTTTATTTTATTTTCTCTATTTTAAAAATTCAGCTGCTAATTTTTCAGTTATGTTGCTCTATTGTTGCAATGATATCGTTCTGGTTGTACCGTTTATAGCATATCATGGTATGCTCTATAAGTTTGAACACAGGTTGGGAAGTATTTTTTAAAACCCTAGATTCTAAATAAAGCACAAAAGAACTGAAATCCCAACAAGCTATGAACATGTAATGCTTAAATATACATGTGTATGTATAATATATATATATATATATATATATATACCTAAGCTTTCATGACAAAAACAAAAGTATTTAAATGAAGTAGATAGAGGAAAGATGAATGTAGCTTCACAAACATCAACCCTTGCCCTTGGAGAGAGGGAGTCAGAGAGTCAGAGAGTCAGAGGAAAAGCAACTGCTAACTTGTATGTATGGGTTTTGTTTTAAAATTTTTTCTAAATCAACTAATCAGGCTTTGTAATTCTTGTTTTGCAAACTAAATCCTATTTGGTGAAATTTTTTACGATCTTTTTTATATAAATTTTTTTTTTTACAATATAAAGTAACAAATTTTGCATTGCATTTTGAGGTAATCACCGCAATCTACTTTTTATTTCAGCAAAAAAAAAAAATAATAATAATAATAATAATAATAATAATAATAATTTCTATAACTTCTATTCCTGTTTTATTATTATTTTTTATTTGTTGTCCATTATATATGTTTACAAGAAAATTTGAATCTGGGCATGAAAAAATAAAAAGAAAGAAAAAGAATCTGAATTGAATTAGAAATCTACAGAGATTGAATCTGAAACAATTTTTATCAACATGCCAAGCTTTTTGAAGATGGAAATCTTTTCAGAACTGAAAAAATAAATAAATAAATAAATCACAAGAACTTTGACAAGCAAAAGTAGTTAATTGGTCAAAAGAAGAGATAGTCCTTAATCAATCAATTGTCTAAAGAAACATTGTTAATTAACTAAAATTGAATTAAACAAAAGTTGATTTTGGTTGATATATTTTAATTTAGCCCACCCCATTGAGAAATCCTAGATCCGCCCTTAGCTCTAGCTTTTACATGCTTCCATTTGTAAGTCTCTCTCTCTTGTTGATTACTCATTGCAGATTTGAGTTTCAAAGGAAGATGAATAGGGTGGAAATGGGTTTGGGGGAAAATCGGTGGGCAATTGGTGGACGCAGTTCATCGACTTCACTCCAAAAAGAGTGTCATTATAATGTTTTGTTAATGTTTCTTCCTTATCCTACATCGACATTTGGTCCATTTGGACCACCATAGGGTACTTTATAGACCATGAACAAGTGTTTAGTGGCCTTTACATAGCTTGTATATAATATTTAAAGTTGTCTACATTCAAAAGACCATTGCCACAATATATAAGCAAGAAATTAACACAAACAACAAATAGCAAATACTTCTCCTCCACAACACAAATCAATCAACAAGAAGCCTCCACATACAATGATCCCATACTCCCATGCTTTTCAACAAATACAAGAAAGTAAATTGCCTCCACACGAGCCGATGATTTAAAAATTGGTCACTTCAAAGCACATGACCCCCTAATACAGCGTAAAGGGTTTAAAAATTGGTCACTTCAAGGCACGTGACCCCCTTTTTGCAAAATGGAAGCGTGAAAACTTACAATCATCTCCGAAGCAGCAGCATCAGTAGCTTTGCCATCCTTATTTACATGTGTGCGGATGAATAAATCTGCACGAGAAAGCTGAATACCTTCGTCTTCCTCAATCTATAAAAGAAACATAGACATTGTGATATATATTATTTACCACTAACATTTATAATCATTCAACGACATAAGAATTGAAATAATTTATATTTTCCATAAAAACTTCAACTAGTCTCGGCAGAAACACGTGCAAAGCTTTTTGTCCTTGTAGTATGCATCATTGTCTGCTTCCCACGACGTTCTTTATTTTTTTTGCTGACCTCCTACAAAAAGTGAGAAAAAGTAAACGTTCTTTGAGTAAAGAACATTCCACCTAAAATAATGACTGAAAGCAGGTAAACTATAAATTCAACTCATTAACTTCAAAAAACATTGTGATAGATGGAGGATTACCTTCGCCATAGGCGTACCCCAATGCCTAACCAAAAATTCCCAATGCTCCTTTTCAACATCAGGTGGTGGGTTTGCCAATCTTTCTTCATCTGTATCCCTAACCGAGTAGTATTCATTTTTTAATTCACACTTGTACCCCCTCTATTTTTTTCCGATGGAGGATAATGTCCACTATTTTGACATGATTCCCACATCATATTTTCCCTGAAAATGTGATAATTGCTGCATGTTAGTCCACTTTTTCCATAAAAATTATTTTAATGTTATTGAAGGGTTTTACCTTTACAATGTTCCACATATCCTCCTTCAGCCGTTTAGGCATCTCCCACCAAGTTTTGTAGCACAAAGGAGCTAATTTACCCTTCCGGGCAAGTGTTCCCAAATAATTAGTAGATGTACCACTTCCAGGACCGATCGGTTGTGCAAACTTATTAACCCTAAACAAAAATTAACAATTGCAGATGTTTAGTACAAAAATAAAGATAGAAATCATTTTTTCTCCTTCATATTGAATATAGTCTAATTATGTAAACTATATAAGATGATCTATATATTTATGTACCTTAAAGGTAATAAGGTTGTCGCATCTATGACATTCTTGCATCGTGTTGGGCCCCGTCTCTTCTTCGGTGGTGGTTGGGATGATTTTGAAGTTGAAGCTTCGGTATTTTGTTCACTCACTTTTTCCACTTCACTAACTGTTCGTTTCATTATCAGCTTATTATTTATCCTTCCTGGAAAAGCCTCCAAAAAAAGTGAGAATTCAGTTAAGAGAATGCAATCAAATTGTTAAAAAAAGCGGTCCAGGAAAAACCAATAAAAAGAAATAAAAGTATTTTCATATTAAAAAACGATTATCTAGCAAGTGCTGACCACATTTACAAGAAGAACTGAAAGCTACTAAGATTTACAACAGTAAAATGAAAAAAGCAAGAGACTATGAGCAAGGAATAAAGGAGGATGGTATGCCTAAAAGAATTAATCTAAATAGCAGGGCCTAGGGAAGAAATCTATACAATCAGTCTTATTTTTCAGGTCATCATCAAGAGCCAAGTAGTTGCTTTTCTATTTCATTCAAAGACTTGTTGAAGGAAGGTTTGGCCGAGTAATATTTGCCATCACTTGTGATGCATTAAATTAAAACAAATAAATAGAGACAATCCTGTTCTTAGTTTCATGCAATTCATGTTGATATATTTAATGGATTTATAAGGCTCTCTTACTCCTTGATAATGAACTCCTAGAATTTACAAATCCAAACACAGTCCAAATTCATGTAAATATTTTATCAGTTTATATTACCACACATGATCTACTACAAGAATAATATACAATTATGATATTTTATGCTTCTGCTTGCACAACCAACAGGCATTTCAGGAATGACACCATTTATGTCAATTTGGATGACATGTGTAATATGAAGTACGGTACCTTTATGGATTTCGTCAATATATAGGATGGTTGAGGCTGTTGAGCACTTGTATAGAAAATATGATAAGCAACAAAAATCTATTTATCACAGCTTTTTAAAGTAGCATCCTTATTCATTACCTGATCTATAAAGGCTCTCAACCAAATGCTGAACAGAATAATTTTGATCAAGACAACACCCAGCCTGGCCTTGCTTTTGGTGTCAAAAGCTGAGACAATATATGAAAAAAAAAAAATTCAGTAACAAAATTACCGTGGGTAGGATCGCTGAAAGATGCAGAGAAAACTAATAATAATAGCATAGTTGTCTTAATATAGCATCCAAAAACTTTTCTTCTTTTAATGTTATTATGCTTTCAACTTTTAAATGGGTGGTGCATGAGTGTGTATGAAAGCAAATAAAGTACAACTCACAGGCCACAAGCAATATCTAATAGCAAACATAACACTAAATAGAGTCGAGACTAAACCTTTTTTTCCTAAGATCACAGAAAAAAATTTAAAATAAAAAATCATTAAAGCCTGGACGTTTGAAAGATTAGGCACACAACACTACATAATGAACCTGGGTTTCATAGCTTTAAATTATAAGGACTCAACATCAGCAACGAATGAAGACCTCATCAGCTTAAATTAAATATCCTTCTTTTTATAAGTACCATTGTATTAGAAAGCATTCAAAAGTTTGAACGCATCCCACAAAAGCAACAAGGACTAACTAGGACCCTCAGCCTCACAAAATATCTCGGCTTAAATTCAATATCAACAGCACAGTCTGCACAGCATAAATCCAAGTATAGAGTATCAACTTTACCACTTAGCACTCAATTAATTTATTATTTCAGAAATAAAAAATTGTGGTAATTTTAATAGGATAAATCAGGCATCTTGATCGCATTAAAAAAAAATGAAGCTTTCCACTCCACTTCTTGAATTACAAGATTGTTTAAACACCTCAAAACTAGAATTCAAGATCATTATTAGATCCACATACAAAAATAAAGAATGCACATGCCAAAATCGTAACCATCATAGAATACAATCAAGTAGCATAAGCAGCACTCTCTCCAGGAAACACCAACAATAATAGAGATGGGTGGGGGGGCAGAAAGAGTAGGATAATTAAAAGTGATATCCTCCGCTTGTCCACTATCACATTGCCCATTTCTCAATAAATTTAAAAACAAAAATGGTAAAAGAAAAGAAACAAAAAAAACTTAGGGAACAAAACATTGTCACTGACACCCAATTATATGCATGTTCTTGACCACTTGAAACTGTTATGTAATACAATAGAAGTGTTGCAGACCCACAACTAGATGGTCCTTTAAATGAATATTGTCTGGGTTGAAAATCAATGTAATAAGATGACTATTAGGTCATCAGAACTTGCCAGCAACTGTTTTCAAAACTCCCTCTTTTTCGCTTAGGAACTTGAAAATTTATCATAACCAATCAAATAATCTAGCATCAGCCAATCATCCTACCATTTTATCATGGTCTAACATCATTGCAAAAGAGGAACAAAGAAGAAGAAAGCCAGCAGAATTTTTAAGTGAAAGTGGCATGGAAAACACATGCTGTGGATAATCATATCTCAATTGACTCTTGGAGTAAAGTACTCCGAAAAATTTAAAGTATATTTTAAAATTTCCCTCTTCCAAAAAATTACATGTCACAAGCGTGTCTAAACATGTTACTTCAGGCATGGTATTTGCACTTCTTATTCTTAATGGAAACCAAACACTTGTTTTATCCAACATTCACATCTTGTTCTGGTTCTTAAGTACAGTTTCTGCATTTAAAAAAATATAATTAAATTTAAAATTTTTGCTATTTTTTATAAGTAATTATTTTGCTAAAATTAAAAAATAATAATAATAATATGCCAAAAAACTAAAATAATCGTCTTCAGCCTAAACTACCATTAAAACAAAAACATCAATGAAGTAGATTAAAGTTAAATAACTCACTTTACTAATTGATTCTTGGACACATAATTTACTCAGACATGGAGACATTGTATTACAGAATTTCAAAGTAGCATAGAGCTTATAGGTAAAATTCTCTTAAAACCTGGAAATTTCCAGGAACTCTTAAAACATAAAATAGTTTCAAAATACTGCAAAAGATTATTCTCTTACAATGTGCATTTTTTATTAAGTTTTTAGACATAATACATCACTATGCTATCAAAACTATAATTCATACTTATTATTGAAGGTACAATAAACAGAGCATGATAATTGTAATTGTTAGTCTGAGAAGCCTGGAGTTTGGAGTAGCGATAGCTCATGCGAAAAACAACTGCCCATGAGAGAACTACAATTTTCACTCAGCCATCCTTACATGGGCAATAAGATAAAAGACATCAATATGAACTATATAAAATAGGATTATTCACGTTTTTACTTTGATATTTTAGCTCCAAAAACACAAACACTCGCAAAGTCACGGCCCATTTTTGAAGGCCCAAAATTAAAACATCAATCAAGGGCTTCGGCTGAGAAATGGAGATCGAACAGTGAGAGATTGAGACAGGGTAGAGGAGTCTTGCAGCTGAGATGGAGATCAAGCTATGAGAGATCGAGATAGAGTAGTGAGAGATCGACATAGAGCGGGTTAGCAAACATCAATCAAGTACTTCAGCTGAGAAATTGAGATCGAGCAGTAGAGATTGAGACAGAGTTATGACAAGAACAATGAAATTTTTGAAGTACCCACTGGAAGGTTGGGCCAAAACCTTAAACCTTCCACAAAGTTGCTTTAAATCAAGAAAAAGAAATAGAGAATATTGATGCTTCATTCTTATTTTACACACACTAAAACCTTAGTGCTAAAAATGCAAATGCAATTAATCACGTATATGACATGAACTTTTCTTTCTTTCAAATTCAGCGAGAGAAGATCCTTTTGCTTTCATTTACCCAAAAAAAAAAAAAATGGTATACATAAGATAGAAGATAGACCAAACAGAAAGGGGAAAACCTAACCAATTGATTTTTAGGTGAAGTTTATACCCATTTGTAAACTAAAATCAGAAAAATTAATTGAAAATAAATAAATCTATAAAGTAATCTGAATCCAAGGTCAGACAGAAATCTCATATCCCAGAAAACGAAAATCAAGAAAATGAAATCACAGACAATAGAAGACAGAGTCACAGAGTTACCTCAACGCACATATAAGCGCAGTGGCGGCAAAGAAACGTAATAAGGGTTGGAACTCCAGAGAGAGATGGTTATGAAATGAAAAGGCAAAATATTTTTCAGAGAGGGGAGTCTTGCAGGTGAGCGATCGAGATAGAGCAGAGCGATAAGGTAGAGCAGAGAGGAGAGACGGATGAAGTAGCTAGGGCAAAATGAAATTGAAATGGGGAAAGTGGAATGTTGTAGTGTTAATGGACCCAGAAAAAACGACGCGTTTAGGCACTAAATATTCTATATATATATATAAATAAGCGGAGGGAAAAAAGTGGAGGGAAGGGGAAAAATTGGAGGGAAGGGAAGAGCCCTGTACCAACGCTTTTATTTAAAGGCTCGTACAATTACACTTATACCAGCGTTTTTTTTTTTATGTGGTTAATGAACTTGTACATTGATGTTGTACAGATTTAATTATTCAAGTGATGTTAATCAAATAATTAAATCTTGGATCTTAAACTAGTGGTATATTTATATAAATGAATTTTATGTGTGATTAATTCTAGTTTGTAGTCTATATAGATGCACACTATGATTACTTGCATTTCTCATGCCATGATAGTTGATGACTTATGGCATGACTTATGTGTTCCAAAATCTCGGTTGTGCATGGAATGTGGTTTAATACATTACTTGTATCTTGACACACTCTTGGTTGCACAACTTGTTGATTTTGGAGACTTTGGATATCAATCAAAAATTGATATGGTTAGGACTTGGTTCTGGTACGGGAGATAGAGAGCTCCCTATATTATAGTGCGCATTAGGGAAAGGTACATATGGGTTAGTAGCCCTAAAGTGATCCCAAGAGTACGGTTTTAATCCGGGCGATATCCGAGTATCCACATTGGCTGATTTCACTCTTTAAATTTCAAGTTACTATTCCTTGAAGATTTAAATCTTGTCGTGCTATGTGGAATGTTCCAACCTTGTTTCATTGTCTAGATATTATGTTTTATCTTCGATTTCATTCCTTAAATTTCAAGTGTTATTCCTTGAAGATTTAAGAAACTTTTCGTGTTATATGAATTATCCCAACTTTGTTTAATTGCATAGACTTTATGCTTCATCTTGGATCTCACTCTTTAAATTTCAAGTGTTGCGTTCCTTGAAGATTTAAAACTTTTCGTGTTATATGAATTATTCCAACTTTGTTTAATTGCATAGACTTTATGCTTCATCTTGGATCTCACTCTTTAAATTTCAAGTGTTGCATTCCTTGAAGATTTAAAACTTTTTCGTATTATATGGAATGATCCAACCTTGTTAAATTACATAGACATCATGTTTTGCCCTTGATTTCCCTCTTTAAATTTCAAGTAGTATTTCTTAAAGATTTAAATCTTGTCGTGTTGTTTGGAATGTCCCAACCTTGTTCAATTTCATAGGTATCTTGATTCATGTTGCTTCATGTTAAAACGACTTAGGAATGATCCTATGTAAGCATTTTGACTTAGATTCAAGGTGGCATGAACCGTTTCAGTAGTTATCGCATTCTAGGTTAAAAGTTGATAACTTTGGATACCTATGTCTTGTTGTGTTACACTATGTGTTCCTATGTTGTTTAAATTGCATGAATGATTTGGTTTATGCTAGAAATATTCTAGGGTAGCTTAGGATGTTCCCTGAGTCTCATTTTGACATAGACGTTAGGTGATATGAGCTCCTTTGACTTGTTTCACCTTAAGGCGATAATATTGTAAAATGCTAGGTCAATGCATGCTCATTCCCTACGAGTTGTTTACTCACCTTGAAGTAACCGGATTATTTTTAGGTACGGATGCCTTGGTTCGAGATACACATCATTCCTTGGATGACTTGTAGCTTTTAAGTTTACATTTCATGCAATCGTCGTCTATCCAACGGTGTGCTCGGTTACACCCGGATATTTCTAGATAATTACCAGTTTGCCCTCAAAGCTTTAAGTGTCCATTTTTCGTCGTCATGCCGTTTCTCCTTCGTCTGGACTCCGAATCATGCGATTCTTGAGTCCATCTTGATTAGTTTTTCGTTGTCCTTCCAGCGGTGTGCTCGGTGGCACCCGAATCTATAGTTTTCAGAAATGACTATTTTGCCCCTGGGGGCTTATTTGTCATATTTTCAATCTTTTACTTCCGCATCAGTTCTTGTTAAGTTCCACGACCTCATGGAAGGTCACTTTGACTTATTAGAGTCTTGTTTTCCGTTTTCGCTTCCGTATTTGGATCCGTTATCGGATCATCCTTACGGTTCATCACAGGACACACTGGCCTAAAAACCAGGGTCGTCACAGGTGGTATCAGAGCGTCCGGGTTCGAATACCTTGGATGACGGGTTTTGGGTGCATATCATGCTCATGTTGTTTTGCTTTGATTTGTCATTTGTATCTTGATAACATGTCTTGTATGATAAGATGTTCACATGTTCAGGTGTTTTGAGACATCTATCATTGGTTGAGTATGCTTTTGTGTATATATACTTCTTGATAACATGTTCTTTGTCACTATCATGTTCTGGTGTGATAACATGTCTGCGTGCTTCTTGATAACATGTTTGATTTGATAACATACCTATTTGCTTATGTGGCAACTTGTTTACTACTTGTGTGAGTAGATAGTTATGTTATGTTGCATGCTACTTATTTACTTTATGTCAGATTTTTGCATTGTTTCTTAGGATCTGTCGTATCCCTTGGATGTGTTCTTGTTTCACGAGTTTCTTCCTTGGATAGGAGAAATTCATTCTGTGAGGACCCATGTAGGGAACCTTTTTGTCTGTTCTGTTGGTTGATGCGAGTGAGGCTCATGTGAGCGTAGACGACTGCGATTCATTTCCTTTTCCTTGTCTGGTGGAGTGAGACGTGGGCCAGGGAGGCACCGTTTCATTTCCTTTTCCATCGTGGCTTTTAGATCTAAGGCCTTAAGCATAATGGTGCTAGTGTCATTGTTGTCAGAGTTTTGGGATTAGCTACCCCAACTCTCGCAGATGCCTGGTTCCCGTGGTGCTTTTGGTAAGGATCATTTTCGACATTGATGTCATCCGTATCAATAGGTTTCTCAAAGTTAACCTGGTTGGGGTATGTTATGAACTAGTGCCTTATACTGTCATGCTACCTTGCTTACAAGTAAGTGTGGGCGGGTTCTAGTCACTGTTCGTACTGCCTTGTCACTCTCTTCTTTCACTGTGTTTGACGTTTTGTTTTCTTGGGATTCTCTCGATGGTTGACGTTGAGTTAACGTGTCGGTTCGTATGAGGTGTTGTCTTAGTTCATGGTTTCGCGTTCCTTCAGTTGATCTTTAGACTTCAGGATTTGTCCTTCAGTGCATTGTGAGCTGTCCTTTGATTTGACCTTTTGTTCTGTCATTATTCTGTTCTCTCTGGTATGTTCCTAATTTCGGGGACGAAATTCCTTTAAGGAGGGTAGGTTGTAACGACCCAGTCATTTGCCTTCCTTTCTTTTTTTCTAAAATTTTACGAATGAATTTTTTTCGTTTAATTTTCTTTTCTGAGCTCTGTTTCGTGTCGCTTAGTGTCATCTCGAGTGCTCGGAATTGGTTCTTGAGACTCTTTTACGTGGATTGACAACTTCCTTTGAGGACCGAGTCATTTTCACATTTTTCGTTTTTTGACACTATGCGCTATTTCGTCATTTTCCCTATTCTGTCTTATCTCCGTTTGTCAGTTTTTGGCACAACCTCACTTCTCATGCTCGGAGTTGGTTTTTGACTTCACGCGCCTTCATCTTGAGTGGTTTCCTCGAAATACGTATCTTTACTTTTATAAGAAAGTACTCTGGTTGCTCCCGGTGTCCACAAGAGCATAGATGCACAATTCTTCAGAATCTTTTTCATTTCTTGGGGTGTTTTTCGTAAATATCTTTTGAAGATATTTTATTTTAGGGGCATCTAAGAAAATATCTTTTGGAAGATATTTTCATTCTGGGCCATAAATGCAGTTTTCACTTTTTGGAGGGGCCATTGTGCAATTAATGAAAGTTATTACAAAATGTCTTGTTTTAAGCCTGGATCCTTGTACGGGATTCATTTTCACATTTCATCGAGTTGTGTACTCTTGGAATTTCCTCCTGGTCGATGTTTTCCAGTTTTAGGGTTTTTGGCCCCAGTTTGCGCCAAACTTGTTTTAGGCATAACTTTCTGCTCGAGACTCAGTTTTTGACACCATTCCTTCCGTTATTCATATTTTATCATTTTGAATCTTTTTCGTTCACAAAGTTTTGTCATTTGAGCGCGTCTGCTCAAATTTTACTTTTTCGGACCCGGCGAGGCCTATTCGGGGCACTTTTTGAGATTTCTATAAAAGGGGGGTGAGATATTTCATTTTTCATCTTTTCCCCTCTTCATGCATGACCTGGAGCTCCCATGGCAGCCTAAGGGGTGCTGCCATCTTCTCTCTCCTCTTTTGGTTCACTTTTCCTTGATGGAAAGTCTTCGGCCTTAACGCTTGTTGTTCCCCTCGCCGTGCTTTACCTTTCCCCCTTATTAGAATTCAGTTTTGACCATTTCTTGAGTTTGGTTTTGAGGTCAAGTTATGATTTTAATGGAGCTTTCATGGGGGTTATGTTCACGGCGTTGTCCCCGACAAAACCTAGTAGTATCGTCGAATTCGGAGCACTTTTATTTTGGTGGGCCTTTGGGATTTTCATCTCAAATTGAGGCAGGAGATGTTCTAGGTTTAAATTCTTGTTATATAGCATGCTTGTGATGCTTATACTACTTGTTTGCATGATTAAATATAAAATTTAGAGATTTTATTATTTATTTTTCTTGTACGGGATCTAATTTTCCCAGTTGCTCATGACTTGGTTTAAACATGTAGCATGATTTTATATTGCCCCTTGATATGCTCATTGTCGTGTATTAAAATTAGAACATTTGAATAAGTATTAAAAATTTTATTTAATATTTATCTTAGGTGAAAGATTAATTCACATGGCCTTAACTAGCTTAAAATCAATATGTGTTAGCATATTAAATTAGGCCTTAGCATGCTCTCCAACATAGTTGAATTTGAAAGTGATTGGAGGTGTTTTGAAAGTTAGTAATTATTAATTAATTTAATTAATTAATTTGCCCCGAGTGCACTATTCACTCTATTTGAATTCCGACTTGATATTCTTGATTCACATGTCATATAGCTTCACATAAATTTGATTTAGAATATTCGGTTAGGTTTTGAAACCTTTTATTTAATTAAATTCCATGTTTAAGAGTTAATCCTCAT